CTAAATCAATAATAATATGGTATTCGTGCAAATTAAATAAATGTGCATAATTAATTATGGATTGCTAATGGAGCCTAAACCAGAAATTGATTTCTGTTGATTTATTTTATAATCTAAAAGCATGATAGTATCTGGTTTATCAATTTTATGGTTTGAATGCATGAATTCCTACCTTACGTGACTACTGTTTGATTAAAAAATTGAGATATGATTACATTCCTCGATGCGTGTTTATTTGCTTATGTGATCATAGTTGATTTGAAAAATGGAGATTAAAGGAAAACAGAAAAGTTGTGTGATTAAATAAACAGATGGAACGACAACCTTACTAGATATTCTAAGAGATGGTGGACGGACTGGGTACATAAGGAACCTTACGGTGAACGTTATCTCATACCGGACGGGGTATGGGACGGCTCGCTTCACCCTCATACCGAACGAGGTATTGAGATTTAATAACTTGACACTCATACCAGACGGGGTATGAGGACAATCCGTAATTGAGATTGTTAAAGGAAAGAGGTCATGTGTAGTGAGGATATCCCTATGAACCTCATTGATACTAGTAGGCTGGTGAAAATGTGACAGTTATTGTTTGGTTATTTGACGATGTGTATAAATTTATGATATGTGCTATGTTGTTGATCTTACATGAAATTATGATTTGTATGATATTATTGTCTGCATAGGTTGTTTTCATAAATTCCACTGTGGTAAGTGAACGGTAAATGATTTTATGATTGATAAATGAACTTGCTAAATTTAGTGCTCTATAGTTTTTTTTTGTTTTTATACCCAACTTTATTTATGTGTCAGCGATATAGTGTGATATCTTTACTGAGCTAGTGTAGTTCATTCCTTATTTAACTATTTCAGATCAAGATGATCAGGTTCTAGAGCCCAATCCGCAAAAAGATTACGAGTAAATGCTAGATATTTTCTCCTTTCTGTTTATTTCCTTATTCATGTCTTTCTTTCAAAAGGGTGAATTCTGTAATGATGTTTAGTACTTTTAAGTTATTGTGTAAGAAATGTAAACTTTAACCCTTTTATTTCACTTCCGCACTTAAATTATTATCTATTTTCTTTGGATTTCCGGAGTTGTTACATAGGAGGTTAAATATAATTCATTACCATAGGGATATAATGTCGTTGTTGTTACTAAATACTATGAGGTTTTTTATTTTTTAGTATTTTATAAAAATATTGAGAATTTTATGTAATACCCAGATCCGGAATTTGGTCTGAAATTAATTTTGAAGTTTAACAAAATGTATAAAAATATAATTTTTAAATTTATAAATTTTGTTTAATGTAAAATTAGGAAAAAAAATATGTTGAAGATGAAATTGAAAATAATTTTGGGAAAAAGTTGTGAAAATTTGGGTTTGGATAGTATTTTTGAAAGAAAAATCGAAAACTAATTATCAGAATGCAATTAAGAAAAATTACACTATGTAGGACCGTCCAGTCAGCAACCTCGACGAACCAGAATGCGCAGCGTGGCAAAGCAAGTTGACTCGATGTCATGTGGGAGGCCATGCTGGCAATCCGCGTGCCCGCGATCGAATGATTCGGATGCATTTTTGCGCGCGTGGACGATCCGGATCTGTTCCCTCCTCAAGTACGATCGGACGGTCGAGATTAGATGCGATGAACGGTCCAGATTCGTTCTCTCTTTAAATGCGATCGTACGGTTGAGATAAAATCGCGATAAACGATCCACATTTATTTTCTCTTTAAATGCGATCGGACGATCGAGATCAAATACAATAAATGGTTCAGATTTAAGAGAGACTGGTATAAATATCTTACATCACACCAAACTCAAACTCTAGTCGCCAGCCTCTCGCTAGAGAAGAAGAACCAGTCACCGGAGAAGGGAGCCGACCGCTGCCCCCGTCGCGCTGAAGTCACCTCCAACTGCCAAAAAAAGTAAAAATTCTCTTATCCGCATGGAATTTGATTCCGAACACCTCCATGATCAAATCAGAGAAAAAAGGACGGTGGATGAGCCTAAAACTATGAAAAAAAGCCCTGCGACATCGTCAAGGGTAAAACCCAAAACCACCTCCGATGAGCCCCTTCCCGTTTTCCATTTCGTGCGATTTTTCCACCATTGTATTCATCGTTCTATTTTCTACAAGTTGATTAAAGAAAAATGCTCTGCCGCGAAGGTGAGTTGGCAGAGCCGCCGCACCGAAAAATTTCATTATCGATAGACTTTTGTTTTTTGACTTTTTTCGGCCAACCAAGGCCCTCTAATGTGTTTTATCGCACGAATGAGTATAAAACCGGTCGAAACGGGCCAAAACTGGACAAAAATGGCCAAGCCCGGCAAACCACCGTTGCAGGAGCACGGTGATGCCGCCGTGCCAG